AATGGTAGCAAATTACACCTTATTTTTTTATAGAAAAAAACGAGCAATATACGCCTTCAAAAGAAGGCGTATATTGCTCGTTTTTGAATATTACTATTACTAAACTGGGTCTAGACTAACACTAAAGAATTATCCATTTATAGATGGAGACTCAACAGCAGCTAGATCAAGAGGGAAGTTGTTAGCATTACGTTCATGCATAACTTCCATACCAAGGTTGGCACGGTTAATAATATCAGCCCAAGTATTAATAACACGTCCTTGACTATCAACTACTGATTGGTTGAAATTAAAACCATTTAGGTTGAAACCCATAGTACTAATACCTAAAGCAGTAAACCTAATACCTACTACCGGCCAAGCCACTAAGAAGAAATGTAAAGAACGAGAATTGTTGAAACTAGCATATTGAAAGATCAATCGGCCAAAATAACCGTGAGCAGCTACAATGTTGTAAGTTTCTTCTTCTTCACCGAATCTGTAACCTTCATTAGCAGATTCATTTTCTGTGGTTTCCTTGATCAAACTAGAAGTTACCAAGGAACCATCATAACACTAAATAAGGAGCCGCCGAATACACCAGCTACACCTAACATGTGAAATGGGTGCATAAGAATGTTGTACTCAGCCTAATAGGAAAACTACATTAAACTTATATCTGAAAAATGTATGGTAAAGTAAATATACAATAGAAAAATAGAAATCTCACAAGAAACATGTGTTATAATATTTTCATTTGATTTAATATAAAAAAGTAACTAAAGATACAATATAAGAATAGTTATATAATTAATATTGGAAAATCAAATAGTTTTGCACGTAGCGCGGATAATTCTTACTTTATCCTTTATATATTAAAGCACAATTCACTCAACCAATACTATTATAACATGTGTATATATATAAAAAGGAAGTTTACTAAAATGACTCAAATTAATCTCGTAATTACTAGAATAACTCATAAAAGTTTAAAATTACTAAAAAAAATTAATGTCTGAAATGCCCTTGTCTACAGTTCTTGTCAAAAAGTAATATTACGAAAGTGCCATTTAAATTTTGGGACAAATCACCGTCGGCAGATTTATTTACGAAAAAATAAATCTATCAGTATATAAATCTATTAATTTAAAATATTGTCAAATTTATATCTGCCAAGTATTTGATGGCAGACTTTAGAATCACAACAGATAGTTTTGAGGTGGCTGATTTGTCTGTCCAATTTAAAGCTGTAAACCGATTTATATGCTTTGGTCTGTCGAATGAGGTAACCGATTTTTTAAAATTTTCAGTTTTATTTTGGACTGGTTAGATTTGTAAGACCGATTTAAAATTACGTACAACCGACTTATAATGGGTAATAGACATATTTTTTTATGACAGATATGTTTAACCGATTTATATTTGTAATCGACTTTTGTAATCATTTGGTGGCAGACTTTCTAAATTTCCATCTTTGACGGCAGATTTGTAAATTAAATTTTAATTACTAGGTTGGTACACACTTATTGTACCAAGCATATCCACTCGAATTTCGGGTTAGTTTCACACAGATTTTGATTTCTTTCATATCGGCTCTGTTTTAGATTAATTTTGGTTTTAATTAATATTTAAAATTGGTTTAAGTTAGGTCACAGTATACCACGTTAAACAATTAAGGTTCATCTTTTCTTTGTCGTTTTCTTCCTCTTACCTTTCACTCAAGAACACGTGTTCCATTTTCATGCTGATTTACGATGGCGTCTTTTAATTCATATTGATTGGAGGAGAATGAAACACAAAATTCTGATCTCTGGAAAGTGGGAAGTTGAGAAAACTAAAAACTTATAATTTGACATATTTAGTGAGCAAGGTAACATATTAGTTGTTGTGAATGGGGACACTCATTTTAAAGATTTTGTGAAAGTCATATTTGAGAATTGCGAAGTTGATTTTGTAGAAAAAAAACTTGGAATTGAGGTACCTTTTTCCAAAACGGAATCTACACAATCAAAACATCGATACACCACTTGTAAAAGTAGGAAATGATAAGAAGTTTTATGCATTTTTGGATCTTTTTAAAGTTGAGATGTGTAGAGTTTAAAGTAAACAAAATTGTTGGGGTAGGAGCTGGCGACGATTAGAAATGTGTAGAATTTAAAGTGAACGAAATTGTTTGGGTATGAGCTGTCGAAGATTAGAAACAACCATATAAAGAAATGATCCGTTGTGTGGAGACGAAGAAAATACAGACAAAGATGGTTATTTGAGGTAACATTTGTCAACAATACCGACAAGAGGGTTATTTTCAACAATTGTAGTTTGAAAAATTTAAAAGAAAAGTGGTTATTTGCTGTAACATTTGTCATGGTTTATTTTGACTCAAAAGAGTTTTAAGTTCAAAACGAGCCGTTTTATGCAAGAAAAAATTAGTTGATTGGGTGAGAAGGATTTATTGTTATTGACTTGGCTAATTAGAATAGAGTTATATTACAGAAGGATAGACTTAGAAAACCAATAAAACCTTGTCCAGAATCAGGCTTTGTGACCCGGTAAAAAAGGTAAATGGCGCAGCGTACGGATGGGTGAACAGTCGATCTAAGAATTTAGGGTTCTTGGAGACCTGTTCTTGGATCGATCAAGAGTTAGTTTCGTTAGCTTCTTGAGACCAACTTCTTATTTGGATGAATTGAATCAAATCGAAATAAGGTTTAAAGCAAAAGCTATTATATTAAATCAAACTTGTCTAAACTACAAAGCGATAGATATGTTTATATAGTCCCGTCATTAGAAAACTCCTAATGAGATAAGGATTTAAACATATCTTAAAAAAAGGAAAACAAAAGATAAAAGAATAAAACTAAAAATCCAAAACGTAAAAGCTAAAGGACTTAGTTGTTTGAATGTTTCATGTGGCGGCAAGGATGTAGATGATGCTGCATCAGGTCCCCCGGGGTGAGAAGGATTCGACCGCGAATCTGAACCGGAAGTATCTGATACGAACTTGGAAAGGTACTTGACATTGAAGACATCAGATGTATTGATTCCGGTAGGAAGACGAAGGCGGTAAGCATTGTCATTTATACGTTCCAAAACTTCAAGAGGGCAAATTTTCTTGGCTTTAAGCTTGTTATAAGCGTGTGCTGGCATCCTATCGCGCGTAAGATAATCCCAAACGAAGTCACCCACTTCAAACACCAAACGGCGGCGATGCCTATCCACCTGTCGCTTGTAGTTCGAAGAAGACGCCTCCAAATTTGTGATTGCTTGCTCGTGAAGTTGCGCAATAGAATCAACAAACTGAACAGCTTCCCCATGAAGACGAGTACAATCCGGGAGGACTGAAAGATCAACCGGAGCTCTAGGAACAGTGCCGTAAATCACCTGAAACGGAGAGAAACCAAAATTTCTGTTTAAGGCATGGTTGTGAGCAAATTCCGCCTGAGGTAACTTTGAATCCCACGTTTTGATGCTCTTGCCAACAAAACAACGCAAAAGATTTCCCAACGATCGATTTGTAACTTCAGTTTGTCCTTCGGTTTGAGGATGATATGCTGAACTCATATCCAGAGATGTTCCCAAGAGTTTCCACAAAGATCGCCAAAAATGACCAAGAAAACGTGAGTCCCGGTCGGAAACTATAGACATAGGTAAGCCATGTAACCTATAGATCTCGCGGAAGAATAAGGTAGCAACTTGCAACGCATCAGTGGTCTTCTTACATGGTATAAAGTGAACCATTTTGGAGAACCGATCGACGACGACAAAGATTGAATCGAAGCCTCGTTGAGTACATGGAAGTCCAACAACAAAATCCATACTTATGTCTGTCCATGGTTGCGTAGGTATAGGCAAAGGCATGTACAAACCAGCATTGGAAGAGTGACCTTTTGATGTCTGGCAGACGACACATCGCTCAACAAATCGCTCGACATCTCGACGAATTGAAGGCCAGAAGTAGGATGAAGTGACAAGTTGGAGAGTGCGATCACGACCTATATGGCCTTCATTGTGAAGTTCCACGATGAGTTGCAAACGGAGGCTACATGCCGGGATGCAAAGCTGCGTACCACAAAAAAGGAAGCCATCGTGGAGAGTATAGTCCGTGAGAGATGCTCCATTCGATAAAGACTGAAAAATATTGCCAAAAAATGTGTCCGTGGGGTAAAGATCAGCAAAGGTTGAGAATCCGGGACCAGACGTATGAAGAACCGCGAGAAGAGAATGTCTGCGACTCAGAGCGTCAGCAACTCTATTGGAAGCTCCAGATGTATGCTTGATGACGAAAGTGAACTGTTGAAGATATGATATCCAAGCAGCATGGCGAGAAGACACTTTCCCTTGACTACTTAGATGTTTCAATGCATCGTGATCTGTATAAAGAGCAAATTCTTTATGAAACAAGTAGTGCCTCCAATGTTTGATGGCTTGAACGATTGCATAGAATTCTATGTCGTAGGTACTGTAGCTAAAACGGGCAATCATATCATCAATGAACAAACGAAAAACTTAAAACATAAGGTTTGAGTAACTGTATTTCTACCTATCAACGCATTGTCTGGGGTTAGTAATTAGTTGTAATTCTATTGCATATTGGCATTTCCATAACTGCTTTGTTAGAGATGTAAAAAAAAAAATCCTAACTGGTCTTCTCTCTACTCATCTTTAGGTTCCATGTTATAAACCCCACTTTAGCTTCTAGACAAAAGCTCTTATTCTACTTCCTGCTTTTATCAGTCTCTACTTTTCTGCAACCAAAGATAATTAAAACGATTCAGCAGCTATTGAAAGGGGATTCACGTTTCAGTATGACTTAGAATACCTACCTCTGACGCATTAACTTTGTCATTTATGCCTCAGTCGACCCTGAAAAGTTCCAAAGAAAGAGAAATAGCAGGTTAATGATTGTGCATCTTAGTGTAGAATTTTAACATACTAATAGCTAGGCTGGTTGGAAGTGTTGAGGCTGGCTTACTATCCACAGTAGCAGAAAGAGTAACACAATTCTCTTTCTCAGACTCTGACTATTCTTGAGTTTCACCGGTCTTTGATGGGGAAGCAAAGAAGCAATCAGGCAGCAGAGCAGACTTGTCTCTTGCCTTTACCAATGATAATAAAAGCACTAATAAGCATTGATGTAGTAACCAGTTATTAATTTGAAAGTAGATAAGACTTAAGACGTCCAAAAATAATGTGAATTGATCATACTCTTTGTCGAAATGGATGGTTACCGTAACCACCTCCTTGGCTGTTGTTATTATCAGAATCAGACAGAAAAGTACGGTTTGCTTCAAACTGAAAATGTTTTGAATCACCATTACCTGCTACGAAGAAACACAGGGGAAGGTAAGTGGTGACTGGGAGCTAAAATAACACCCTCTTGATCTACAACTTGATGTTGTTCAGCTTCTTTTTGGAGTCAAAGAGATCAAACGGTGCTCTCTTTAGAACAAAGAGAATCGCCTTGAACTCCAGCTGGCCCTCCACTGAGAGATGCTTCACAGCTGACCCTTCATCAAGTCCTTGAGTCTCCTCTCCTCCAGATATTCAAGCTGCACAAACAGACACTCATAAGATAACAACACAATAAGAAAAAAAAAATCCTCAAGCTCTCAAGACTGATTTCATTACCTGATCCTCCTTGAGGAAGAGAATGATCTTAGTTCCTCTACCAAGTGGTCCCCATCCACATCCATTGTAACAGTGAAGGAACCACCAGCTTAAGACTCCCATACATACTGTTCATCATCATTGTGCTTGGTAGTGACACTAACCTTCTAAGCAACAAGGTAACCAGAGGAGAAACCAACACCAAACTGACCATATGTATAGAGTTCTTCCATAGAGTCCTTGGTTCCAGATCTAGCAATCGTTCCCAAGTTGTTCACCAGGTCTGCCAAATAACGAAAGAGTCAAAACAAGCGGCACAAGAAACACTAAAATTGAAAGCCTTTAGCCAAGAAAAAAAAGAAACACTAAAACCTCAGTAAGAATACAATGCGTTACCTGCTTTGGCCATGCCAGGTTTCACAAAGGGGAAATCGAATTTAGGGTTCTTCTTCTATGACAAAGATGACGGCGAGTTGAGGTGGGGATGACGAAAGGGAGGAGGCTGTGACGGAGGAGAAGTCGCCGGAGACAAAAGTGAAAAGGATCAGCTTTTCTATTTTTTTTTGAGAAAAAAATAAAATATTTACTAATAAATTAATTTAATTTAAAATTGTTAATAAAAAAGGAAAAAAAGGATTTTTAGTACTTTCATTAGCCCTATGAGTTATTCTAGTTACTAGATGCAGAGCCGCCGCGCAAGCGCGGGGGTCGTCGACCCAGTCTGTGCTTTATCTCAATGTGTGCACAATATTGATTGGTTTTAAATTTCTGCCATTGAAGAAAAATTACAGTTGCACAATGGTTTTTGTTGTGCATGTTCTCCTTTAAAGCTTTAATTTCTCTATATATATGTGCAAATGAGGAACCGACAGTTGTGGTATTATTTAGGTAATCCTAGAAATCACTACAGAGTATTTGAATAGCTGAAGAAAGAGGATATGTCTAATCTGTTAGCTCATTAAACTTAAGAGTTGGCTAATGTTCATAATGTTGATCATAGTCGCATAACTTTTATAACGTTAGAATTTCTTAATGCTAAGATTCGAACATTTCTCTTTAGGTGCCTAAAATCTTGACTATAATTTTATTTGATATATTAGGTAGATATTTTCATAATTTTCACCAGAAATTATATAACGTTTAGTTAAGCATATAACATGTTTATAAATACTTTTATAGAACTGTATTTTAATATCAAATTTTTGCTAGCTCTTAAAGTGAAGAAGATTTTGGAGGCTCACCTCTGTTCTTAAGCAAAAAAAAGACTCACCTCTGCTTCAACTCTATTTACAACTTTCTTTAATTTATAGTGAGTTGTTTTATAAACTTGTGTGACCCAAATCTCCAGACAATGGAGTTGTGACACCAAGCTTACGTATATATCAAGTACAAGCAAATAGTACAACTTCTTCCACTTGGAAAGCTGTCAAGTATTTTTCGAGTCCCAATGATTCCAGAAAGCTATCAGTATCAACCGATGCACCAGCCTGAACCAAATAATGACAAGCTAAGAAACATAAGTGGACGGTATCCATACGCTAGCACAGTTTAGAAGAATGGTTTTCTCCCAATGTACCTGCTGTGATTTCTTCTTGGTAGCTTGACTTGAAATTTTTCTAGTCTCTGTTGCAGTGTCAATCACTACACTCTTCATGTTTGGTCTAGCAGTCTCCACTTCAGATTTTGGCGGGTCACTATTTTTTGGTTGAGCATTCATTGTTCCAGAGAGCTTTTCCCGTAAATGCCTCACGCCTGAACCACTTTGAAACCCATGATGTCTCTTTTGGAGCTTCACACGAAGGTCTCCAGAATCAACGCTGCCATATTTGCAAGTAATCCGACAGAGAATCAACAACCATACACAGATACCTTTGTCATAGACTCATAGTTATTGTTTGCTAAAGAGAAAAAAACATACTTGAAAGTTGAGGTTTGTCACTACCGAAAAGATCATGCTCCCATTTGTCGGCCTGCCTTTGCCTGGAAGCATAAGGAAGGTGGAATATGAATATAAACCAATCTCCAAAACAAAAACAAATATATTTCACCTTACATATTCAGTTAAAGACAACCTTTAAACAAAAGGCCAAACATCAAATGCAAGAGACCAAAAACAATTCAGAGAGATAACATCTCCATATCTAAAAGTCATCGTAAGCTAACCAGAGAGCTATGCAAGAATAAGATCATAATGTAGCTATCAATCTATAGTCTATACACAAAGATACAAAGATCCTACTCCAAGAACCAGCTAACAACACTGTAGAATCCTATATCAATAATTGAATTTCAAAACAAATTAGAGCCAAACATCAAGTCCAAAAGCCATTACGAAGAACAATTCAGATAGATAACATCTCCATATCTAAAAAGTAATTAAGCTAAGCAAGGATAAGCTTGTGCTGCTCAAGGAAGATCATAATGCAGGTATTTATCTATACACAAAGAGGAAACGAACCCAAACCAAGTACCAGCTAACAATACTTCAAACCTAAAATATGCTTCACCAAAACATGTGTAGGATAATTAAGAAAGATAAAGCCACATGGCTTATTACGCAGGGAAGATATTCCCTTCTCCGGCGAACAAACAAAGAGTATGGCCACCATCTCTCCACATGGTGTTGAATCCAGCCGTGAACAAAATATCCCACTTACTCCTTTTACGATAAAGATATAGACTATCATAAGAAGATCTATAAACTTACCAGTTAAATTAAAACCCAGATTGAACTGATAGAATTAGAAATTTAGAACCCAAAAAATTTTGAGATGCCTAAACAAAGGCCCCAATCTACTTTTTTAATCTAAACCCATCAAAAACAATATCATCATCTCGGTTCTACTCTAAAGGGAAACTTACACCTTAATCCTGATAAACACATCAAAAAGTGAAGGATTACGAAGAGAACCAAGCAAGATCTAGCAACTCAAGATCCTCGTAATCGTCGGAGTAAAGGTTCGATTTAACACGCAAAAGGACTGAAATCCACAAACGGAAAAGACAAATCCAAATTTCCTTTGAATATAAGATACAGAAGAAACTAAGCGAGATTATTCATATGAACCCAAGCGTTCAATTTTTACCATCAGGGCCTGTTTGTGCTAAAAATTCCCAAAGAAATTCTTCAGATAGCTACATTACACAGAGGAGAGTAACTGAGAAATGAACAAAAATCTCTTGAATCAATCCGAAATCTAAAGTTCATGCGAGAGGGAGAGAGAGAAAGGAGAATAACCTGGGTGTCGAGATTAGGGGTCAGCAAACATGAGTTGAACATGAGGCATTTCATTGCAATAGATCAGCATGGGAGTTCAAGAGATCGAGTTTGATGATTAATTCAAGAGTCCACAGAAGACGGTTCTAGAATAGAAAAACACGACCGTAATAGAAGAACACACGGGAAACACAAAACATCAGAGGGGAATAAAAACGATACGGAAGATATACAAAACGGCATGCAATGTGAAAAAATTGGAGATGGAGCCCACAAAAACGCTGACATGGATAGGCTGAGGAGTCTTGAAACTGCATCATTATAATATAGATTATAAAAGTTTATGAGTTATTCTAGTTATTTCATATATAATTTGAGTCATTATAAGTAATTTCTCTATATAAAATAATAATTTTAAAAAGAAAAGTAAAACTTTCTTTGCCAAAAATTACTTATGATTGTTAATTTTTATTTTATAAAAATATTATGTTTTCAGATTGTAAAAATTTAAATCCCTCTATTCTCTCAAATCACTACCACCACGTTCAAAAATAAATAATGTTAACTCCATACCATGAAAAACGATTTCAAACTGCCTCATCTTCTATATATTTTTTAAATAACTAATTTGTTCTCCCTCTCTTAATTTAGATTCAGTTTATTCTTCTTTTCAATTTTGCATCAATCACAAATAGAGATGATAATTGGGCTTTCCCATCTTGTCCCGTCCTAGACCACTACGAGTTTGTCTTCTAGCGGGACGCAACATGTTTGTCTTGTGCAGGATGCGGTCCTGAAAACAGTTGTCCAATCCCGTACCGTCTTTCTTGTAGGCCTTCACGGACCGTCCCGTGAGACATGTGATAATACCCACAGCATAACGATTCAGGCCACTCCCAAACGCTTCAGGCGATTCTAAGACATAGTTCAAGTCTTCGATTCAACTGGACATAATTCATCATTCATTGCTTTGCTTATTTTTTATTCAAAACAATAATTGTAATTATTTGTATTACACCCAAAACATATTAACATACAAAGTAAAAATAATTGCAGAAAATATTTTTCATTATCTTATAACTTATAAATTGATAACTAATTGAGTTTCCTCATGTTTCGTTCTTCAAAAACAAATAGAAAAGCAAAACACTACCAACAACGTAATTGAGGTAATAATAAGTATAGATTCCATTATATAGTTACTGTTTTCCATTATACAAATCTGCGTTTTTTACTGGCTTATTCGAAACCTGACTTACGGATTTGGTTGTGTATATAGATTTAAAACATCAAACCATAACCCGATTTGAAATCTGAACGTGAGTATTTTGAAACTTTTCCTTCAGTTAACAATGAAAAGTTTCAATACTTTAGAGTTTTTCCAAAAAGAATTTTTGGTTTATTATGGTCAAATAAAAGACTTTGTCATCTTACCACTGAAAACTCTAAAGATGTAATATGGGAACGAGATTTAATTAAGTCAATGTTAATAGAGATACTTTAGCTTACTATAACCGTAAATTGTTATATTTTTTTCTAGATATGTTGTCCATAATTTATGGAAACAGGGGAAATTTAAGGCCATATACAAATACAAACAATCATCACTCTTCTGCGAACTTTCATAATTGACATTCAGCAACAATAGAAAGATAATCAAACAATCTAATTTAGTGATAGAAATACTCTTATAATTATATGTAACTCTTTCGGTCCTTGTTCCTGGAAAATAAGATGTTAGTAGTATTGACATGTTGCAGTCGTTGATTTAAAATTTAAACATAAAAATACTTTCTCATGTTTAGATGATCAAATATTATTCATATTATTTGAACTAAATTAATGTGAAATCAATCTTTGTGTCTTTTATCGGCTCAATATAATTTCAAGCAGTAATGCTTAACTACAAGTGATTTAGTACATTTTACTGAATCTTGACTATGTATGTAAGTGTAACTGATTTGTTTTTTCTAATAGAAAAAGTATTTGATTTTATTTTCCTATATGCGTGAAAAAGATTAGTCAATCCGCGCAACAGCGCAGAAAAATATCTAGTATATTATAATAAGATACTTTGCGTGCCACATCATTATCATGGGATCCATTTTTTTTTTTCTTGCCACTTAAATGTTAAAAGCAAGGGAGCAATCTGGTGGGGTTATTAAAAAATTCTAAATGGCATGTTTACACGTACATTCTCCTTCTGAAAACAAAGCACTTCCACTAAGAAAGAAGATCCATGAGATTTGCGGTGAAGATGACGACTCAAGACGTGGAGATGAAAGAAAACCAAACCCCAACTCAATCCATCGTCTCTCCTACAACCTCAACCCTTCAGTGTATAATCTCAAATCTTATATTTTACTTTCAGTTAATCTCACAATATTAGGAATTTAAAATCAAATGTTTCTCCACAGATCTGAAGGAGAGTGCAGCTCTGGTCGATTCAGGCTCCTACACCCAAGAAGTCTGCCGTGTTGCTCGTGTTGTGCGTCTCACCGTCAGACTAAGATAGAAGCTCTCCGGTTTAGTCATCTATTGGTTCCTTGGCTTCGATTTGGTAACTGGATCTGTAACAACCATGTCCCTAGGATCCTTTTCAACCATAACAACACTTCTCTTTAGTCCAATACTTCCTTTATTTCAATCTTAATCGTCTTACAAGTAACTAAATTCAATAAAAACCGAATAACATAATAATAGTTTAAGAAAACATAGTGAAACCCCTTAACACGAAACTAAAATAGATGGCACCATCCCGACTTCTACTCCTGCACCTCCTCGATCATACCTGCAAGAAGGAGGGTGAGTAATTTGGATTACTCAGTGAGGGTAGGTTCTAGGAACCTACAAATTCATCTCAGATCACATAACACATCAAGCACAAGTCATAAGTTAATATCACCTAGTATTCATCTAACAAGATTCTATAGACTCTCTAATCCATGAGTTCTCAAGCTAATCACCATACATTTCATGACCTTACACAACTTCACCATTCCCTTCCAAACTGGCACGCCAAACAGGCGCTCGCCAAACCGGCACTCGCCAAACCGGCACGCCAAACCGGAACTCGCCAAACCGGCACTTGCCAAACCGGCACTTGCCAAACCGGCAACGCCAAACCGGCATATGCCAATCTGGCACTAGTCACACTATGACACAACCTCATATCTCATCGATGACATGATAACGCCCTAGTCTCATCAACATTCAATCTTAACCAGGTTCATTCTTATCATCATTCATTCTTATCACACAAACGGTTATCCTTTAACATCCAATTATGTTCTAGGTTCTTTACTCACATCATCAATCAACGCACTTTCATTACATCAACACAAACGAACAACTAGATCTAGGTTAACATTAACAAGGACTAACTCCTTGAGGTATTATACAACAAGAGAGAAATTTACGACCGGGTCGTCACCTTAGCCTTTCTCGAGGTCATAGATCCAGATCCAACAGAAAGAATGTAGCAACACAATCACAGATCTGTACTTTCACGCTCAATAGAAGATGTGGAAAAGGGGTTAGGGATCAAATCTATCACACCTAGTGACAAACCATAGAGATGGAGGAAGAAGAAGGAGATGTAAATCAGAGTCTTACCAAAAAATTTGACGAAAGATAACGAAAGAGAACAAAGGAGGGAGAAAATCATAAATGGTGACTCTCATAAAGTTGACAGTGAATTCCTGTCTCCTCAGATCATAAAACGCTGCATTTTAGAGAGAGAAAAATAAGGCGATCTTGGAGGCAATTGTTACACGTTACTCGACAACGATGGAGCCGTCAGTTCCACCGGATTTACCGGCTTCTCCGGGTGAGGGTTTGAATAATCGAGAGATAGGGGAAAGCTCTCAAGGGTCGGTGAAGAATTTTGAAGGGTTAGATCTAAGGGGAAAGGGTTCGGAGAATAAAGGATCGGGGACTCGAGCTCTTGACGGGGGGATCAGAATGGTTCTCAGAGAGAAACTTTGGTGGGAAAGGTGGATACAAACAAGGAAAAGGTTCCGATTACTACGGGAGCGATTCCAAGTTGGGTATCTGTAGCTCAAGACAAAAAGGTGCTCAAGAAATTTGAGGTGGAGATACTGACAAAGGGAGGTAAACAAACAGTGGAGATACCAGATGATGTTATCACAAATCCGACTCCATTGTGGGAGGATTTTGTGGTGGGGAAGTTTCTGGACGCTGCTCCTCATGTAGCAAAAGTCCATATGGTGTTGAATAAAATCTGGAGGTATGGGGATTTATCAGCTAAGGTGGAAGTATATGAGATTAATGATACAACAATGAGGTTCAAAATTTCGGATTCGAAGGAAGGGGAGAAAATTCTAAGACGAGGGATGTGGAACATAGTGGGAGTTCCTATGGTGGTGGCAAAGTGGACTCCACGATCAGAGGAGAAAGAACAAGAAGAAGAAGCGATTCCCATGTGGATTCACTTAGCTAAAGTTCCACTACACATGTTCTCGTGGGAAGGTCTCAGTCTTATTGCTAGTCCTGTGGGGTATCCAGTAAGACTACATCGTGAGACGATTGCTTGTAAAAGCTTTGAGGTAGCAAAAGTTTTTGTTAATGTTGATGTCTCAATAACTCTACCTAAAGAGATGAATTTCACAAAGAATGGGAAGGAATTCACGGTTGATTTTCACTATATGTGGTTACCTACAAGATGCAAGAGTTGTAACAAGTGGGGACATGGAGAAAAAGTGTGTGCTCTTAAAGGTAATGGGAAGGAAAAAAGGAAAGAAGCCGATGGGAATAAAGAGGAAAAAACAAAGGAAAGAATAGATGGAACTAAAGAAGAGAGTACTAATCTCAGTGAAGGAGGAGATGTTGAAACAGGGACTGAGAATGCCTGGTATAAGGCATCTGCTGAGAAGTTTGGAAGGTCGCAGTTGAGAGTACCACCAAGGAATGACATAGAAATATCTGCGTCAAAATTCTCGGTTTTGAGTATTGACGAAGAAGAGGAAGGTGAAATTAATGAAGAAGTCCAAAGATATGAGGAAGAGGTAGTTAAGTTAAAAGATAATGATGAGGTTAATGAGGATGATGAGATCAACAAGAGGAGACAGAGAGAATGAAGGAGAGAGATGAAGATATTCTGGAGGATAATCTGTTAGAACAAAGAAGCAAAGGGAAAGACAAAGTTGTAAACCAGAGAGGAAGAAAGAAAGGTCAGAAGGCAAAACCAAGGGATGCAAATTCTAAAAGGCTGCCTTCTCACCGTAATAATTAGAATGACGAGTTTTTTCTGGAATGTGCGGGGATTGAATAAGACTTTGAAGCATTCCGTAATAAAAGAGTGGTTGAGTAATAAGAGTTGAGATTTAAGATTTGGGTGTATGTTGGAAATAAGAGTTAAAGAAGGAAAGGCAAGGAAATTTTACATTCAGTGTTCAGAGATTGGTCAGTAATGGCTAACTACGAGCATAGCCAAGGCGGTAGGATCTGGGTTTTATGGAGGGATACGGTTCGTATGACGCCAGTGTGTAAGTCGGATCCGTTTATTACTTGCTCTATAGGTTTACAAAATGAGGAGGAGTTCTTTTGTACCTTTGTTTATGCGAGTAATTTGGCTGAAGAAAGGAAGAGTTTATGGAAGATTTATGTGATCATCACTCCTCTCCCATGTTTCGAAACAAAGCATGGGTGATGATGGGAGATTTTAACGAGATTCTTGAAGGGGAAGAAAGTTCAGGATTTGCAGAGACAGGGAGAATTCCAAGTGGGATGAGGGACTTCCAACACATGGTTCTTTGCTGCAAATTCTCGGATATGGGTTATCATGGACCAACTTAGACTTGGTGTAACAAAAGAGAAGAAGGTCTAATATGTAAGAAGCTGGACAGGGCAATGATGAATGACGTGGCTCTTAGCAGGTTCTCAGATGGATTTGCAATATTTGAACCTGGTGGCTACTCTGACCATCTTAGGTGTACGATTCAGATGTTGCCGATGGTTGAGAAGATCAGAAAACCTTTTAAATATGTCAACGCCATTGGAAGGTTGTCGAGTTTTCTTCCTAAATTGAAGGAATACTGGGATACAACCGAGGTTCTGTTTTACTCTACTTCTGCTATGTTCAGGTTTTCCAAGAAGCTAAAAAATCTCAAGCCAATCATTCGTGTTCTAGGAAAAGAAGGATTGGGGAATTTGACAAAGAGAACTCAGGATGCTGATGGAGTGTTGTGTGAGAAACAGAAGGTTACTCTTGAGCAGCCTTCGGATACTAGTATTCACGAGGAGGCTGAGGCGTATGAGAAATGGTTTCACATTGCGGGTTTGGAGGAAGAACACTTGAAGCAAAAAGCGAAGCTGCATTGGCTGGAAGTGGGAGATCTAAACAACAAAACTTTTCACAACTCTATAAGAGCTCGCAAAGCTCATAATGCTTTAAGAGCTATCAGATGTTCTAATGGGAAGATCCTTGATAGCCACAATGAAATCAAGGATGAGGCTGAGAGATTTTTTTCGGAATTCCTGAATATGAATCCGTCTGGTTACCAGGGTACTTCAGTGGAGGAGCTAAAGGGTTTGCTGCGTTACAGTTGTGGTATTGAGGATTGTAACAGACTGATAAAAGAGGTAACGGAGGAGGAAGTCATGAGAGTTTTATTCTCCATGCCAGCACATAAATCCCCGGGTCCAGATGGGTATCCAAGTGAGTTCTTTACAACAGCTTGGCCAGTGATTGGAAGAGACTTCATTGTAGCAGTTCAATCGGTGTTTAAGTTTGGTTTTCTTCCTAAAGGGGTTAACTCAACTATTCTTGCACTGATTCCTAAAAAATTTTATTCCATGGAGATCCGAGATTACAGGCCGATTGCTTGCTGTAACGTGCTGTATAAAGTAGTGTCGAAGATCATTGCAAACAGGCTGAAGCTGATCCTTCCTAGTATCATAGCTGAGAACCAATCTGCATTTATAAAAGGAAGATTGTTGATGGAGAATGTTCTCTTAGCTTCTGAGCTAGTAAAGGATTATCATAAAGAGTCGGTTTCTTCTCGTGCTGTGATGAAGATAGACATCTCTAAAGCTTTTGATTCTGTTCAATGGGATTTTGTGCTGAAATGTTTGGAGACTTTGGGTATTTCTGCTATGTTTGTGAGATGGGTGAAACTGTGCATAACTAATCCTTCTTTCTCTGTTCAAGTCAACGGCGAATTAGCAGGCTATTTTCAAAGTTCTAAAGGACTTCGTCAGGGATGTTCGCTTTCCCCCTATCTCTTCGTGTTATGCATGAATGCTTTATCACATCAAATTGATAAAGCAGCTGCTGATAAGAAGTTCAAATTGCACCCTCGCTGTAAGTCTTTATCTCTGACCCATCTATGCTTCGCGGATGATCTCATACAAGGAGCTTTATCAGTGTTTGACAAGTTTGCTGAGTGGTCAGGCCTGGTTATAAGTATAGAGAAGTCTACTCTTTTCGTGGCTGGTGTTAAGAGTGATGAAGAAAGAAAATTCTGACGGATTTCCCATTTGCTAAAGGGGAGT